CCCGCCCCCGACAGCCGCCACGCGTCGGGCCCCCGGGGGGGCCAGTCTCGGAGGTCGGATGGCCGGCTGTTCTGGGGCTGGTTTCCGCCCGCGGGGGCGGAATGCGCGTAAGAAAGTAGTCCCTTCCAGGCGCTTCCGCGGAGGGATCCCGGGCGGCCGGGGTATATAAGGCGGCGCCCGGGCGCGGCGCAGCGAGTTCCGTCGACGCCGCTCGATCCGACGCTGATCTTCTGCGAGCGCCGCAGCCACAGCCGCCACCGGTGGGTGAGCACGGCGCCGTTGCGCCCGCGGGGCGGAGGTCCTACTCCCGTCGGGGCTGGCCGGCCACCCAGGCTCCCGAGCCCTTCTCCCCGGGGGCCCGCGCGCTCGCCGCCGCTGCCCCTGAGGAGAAGCCAAGATGGCGGCCGGGTGGGATCCTTAGGTTCAGACTCGGAAGCGGGCCCCGCGGTCTGAGAGGCCAGACTAGCGGGCGGCGGGGTGTGTGTGTGGGGGCCTCGAGGCCGTGGCGGAGGGTGGGTGCGTGTGGCGGGGTTTTTCTCGGTTGGGGCGGGTGGGGCCGTTAACCGGCAGGACGGGCGGGGCGGGAGGCCGCGCGCTCCTATGACGTCACCGCGCCTGTTGGCTCACAGTCGGGGCGGCGCCCGGCTGCCCGTGTGTCGCGGGGTTTTCTCCGCCGGTGGACACAGGGTCCGGGGCTGCGGGAGACGGCTGGGCGGACGGGATCCAGACACCGAGAGGGGGAGGAAGCGAAGGGAGGCTCTGGAGTTTTGTCTTGGTGACGGTTACGGAGCCAGGTTTTGAGTTTGTCACCGCCACCACTCCTAGATACTGGGTGGTTTTTTAACGAAGGCAAGTTTTCTTCTTTTCTACTTTCTACGTATGTGCCACGGTCACGGGATTTGTCATAGGGCCTAGGCGCTGTCTTGCAGGTTTTTCCCCAAGGCAGTGTTCCACCATGGGAGCCACGACTCCATTTACAGCTTTTTGCTGGGTAGTTGGGAGATGAGATTTCCCTGGACTTTTCTGAAGGGCTGGCTTTGAACGTTGATCCTCAGGTTTCAAATCTGAGAATCATGGTTAGAATCTAGCTTGGGTAAAAAAAAAAACAACAACATGAGACTTGTCTTCAAATAACCATAGAAAGCCCAAGTAAAGCTTTGTCTACAGTGACTGGGCACCAGTGGAGCAAGGACACCAGTCCCTAATTTCAAGCTCAAGTACCAGCAGGAGGAAAGTTGTGATTTTTATTTTGTTGTCATTTTCTTCATTTGTTTTTCAGCACTAGGGCTTGAAATTAGGGTCTCTGTGAGCTGTCCTTCCTCAGTGTTTCCTCAGGTTTGGCACACCACAACATGAGCCACAGCTCTATTTCTGGCTCATATAGTTATTACTTGGAGATGACTAAGGCTTTCTTGCCGCAGTCTGGCATTAAACTCAGTTCTCAGGTCTCAAGATTCTAACTAGGTACAAGGGTGAACCAAGGTCACCTGTCATCGTTTGGATACTCCTTTTTTTTTTTTTTTAAAGTCGGTCCTGGGGCCTGAACTCTTCAGCTCAAGGCTAGCACTCTACCACTTGAGCCAGAGCCACGGCACCACTTCTAGCTTTTTCTGCTTATGTGGTGCTGAGGAATTAAACTCAGGCTCTCATGCATGCAAAACAAGCACTCTTAGCACTGAGCCACCCCATAGTCTGAATTCTGATCAAAGGAAAAAAAAAAGCATTGAACTATTATTAGCAGTAGAAAGACTAGACAATTTTTTTAGACTTTTTTTTTTTTTTTTTAGTTTTTTGGGTCCGGGCGTGGGGCCTGAACTTGGCCTGGGTGCTGTCCTCAGCTTTTCAGCTCAAGGCTAGTGCTCTACCACTTGAGCCATAGCGCCACTTCCAGCTTTTTTTCTTTATGCTTATGTGGTGCTGAGGAATCGAACCCAGGGCCTCAGGCATGCAAGGCAAGTGCTCTACCACTGAGCCACCTTCCCAGCCCCTAGACTTTTTTTTTTGGGTCCGGTCGTGGGGCCTGAACTCTGGGCCTGGGCGCTGTCCCTCTGCTCTTCAGCTCAAGGCTAGGGCTCTACCACTTGAGCCACAGCACCACTTCCCGCTTTTTTTTCTTTTTGCTTATGTGGTGCTGGGGAATCGAACCCAGGGCCTCAGGCATGCAAGGCAAGCTCTCTACCACTGAGCCATCTTCCCAGCCCCGCCCCAAGACTTTTTACTTTTATTTTTTGGTTGATGGTGGGACTTGCACTCTGGGCCTGGGTGCTGTCCCTCAGTTATTCAGCCCAAGGCAAGAGCTCTCCAACTTTTGAACAACAAGGTCATTTCTGGTTTTCTGGTGGTTTATTGGAATTAAACTTTTTTTCTTTCTTTTTCCTTTGTTGTAATAGACAATGCAGATCTTTGTGAAGACCCTGACTGGCAAGACCATCACCTTGGAGGTGGAGCCCAGTGACACCATCGAGAATGTCAAGGCCAAGATCCAGGACAAGGAGGGCATACCACCTGATCAGCAGAGGTTGATCTTTGCAGGCAAGCAGCTGGAAGATGGCCGTACCCTGTCTGACTACAACATCCAGAAGGAGTCCACTCTGCACCTGGTGCTCCGTCTCCGAGGTGGCATGCAGATCTTCGTGAAGACCCTGACTGGCAAGACCATCACCCTGGAGGTGGAGCCCAGTGACACCATCGAGAATGTCAAGGCTAAGATCCAGGACAAGGAAGGCATTCCCCCTGACCAGCAGAGGCTGATCTTTGCGGGCAAGCAGCTGGAAGATGGCCGTACCCTGTCTGACTACAACATCCAGAAGGAGTCCACTCTGCACCTGGTGCTCCGTTTGAGGGGAGGTTTTTAATTTCCCCTTTAAACTCATGACAAGTTTCATTGCACTTTTGTTTAAATAAATAAAGTTCTTGCATTCCTCAATAGTTTAGTGTGTGTATTACAATCCTTATCAATATAGAACAATAATGAACCAATGGTTAATCATGAAGTAAAAAATGTCAATGCAAAGGAGAGGACTATCATAATTTGAGTATAGTTAGGAGCTACTGCCCCGTCAGTTGGTAAGAAATTGTATATATGCCACATACAGTTGTTCAAGCGTGTGTTTTTAGATACTCCAGCTTTGTTTCTTTTTGTGTGGATGGGGGGGTGGTTGGGCTTGAACTCTGGGCCTGGGCATTGTCCTTCAGCTCTTCAGCTAAAGGTGAGTGTTCCACCTTGAGCCACTGGGCCAGTTCTAATTTTTTGGTGATTAATCAGAGATAAGTCCCATGAGACTTTCCTGCCTTGGTTGGGCTGGCTTTGAACTGGGATCCTCAGATCTCAAGCTTCCTGAGTAGCTCTAGGATTACAGGCATGAGCCTGTGGTGCCCGGCGGTTTTGGTTTTTTTTTAATAGGAAGTAAATAGATTGTGTAATGGGGCCTTGGAACCGGTTTTCTTAGCTCTAACCAATATAAAAGGAAGTGCAGCAGTGACTCAACTTAGCATGAGTACAAATGCTAAGGGACAGCATCTAGGCCTTGAGCTCAAGCCCTGGGACTAAAAAAATTTACACGGTAGCTTGGTGTGTCCCTTTCTACTGGAGGCTCTCAACAGGTAATGGATGCGGTAGGCAGAGGCGTCGGGTTGGGGGGCAGGGGTGCTTAGATTTAAGGTAGTAGAGCCCTTCTCTAGAATGCCCAGTCCTCTGGTTTAATCTGCAGCACTGAGAAAAATGTTCAAATAAGGAAGCTGATTAATGGGCGCTCTCCCATAATCTCTGATACATACTCAGATGTGGAGCAGTTCTTAAAAATTTCCTAGTACTAGTTGTACAAGGAGGGTTTTATGATGAATGTGTAAAGTGTGCCCCTTCAATGTCACATCACGTCCTCTCATCAGATCTTACGTTTTCAGCACTTGGAACTTGGCTTCACACTTTTACTGCCTCTGCTACTTGAATCTCCCCTCTAGCCTGTCCTGCTTATTGCTGGTTATTTTGGAGATGGAGTCAGATTTTGCTGCCCAAAGTTTGGTCTCTAGCTTCAATCATGAATAGTTTTACCTTGATTTCAGCTGCAGATAGGAACCATGGGTAACTGAGTCATCCTAAGTTTTAAATGAACTCTTTGGGCTAGTTTTACGCATAAGTACTTTTGGAGCTTAAATTCAGGGCCTGGGCTCTGTCCCTGAGCTCTTTTGCTCAGGTTAGCACTTTACCACTTTGAGCCACAATGCCACTTTGGTTTCCCCATTGAGATCAGAATCACAGACTTTTCTAAAAGCCCAGGCTGGCTTTAAACATACTTAGAGGTCAGCCTCCAGAGTAGGCTGAGATTATAGGCATGAAGCTGGGCGCCGGTGGCTCACGCCTGTCATCCTAGTTACTCAGGATGCTGAGATCTGAGGATCTCGGTTCAAAGCCAGCCCAGGTAGGAAAGACCGAGAGGTAGGAAAGACGGAGAGATTCCTATCTCCAGAAAACTGGAAGTGGAGCTGTAGCTCAAGTAGTAGAGCGCTCAGTCTTGAGCTGAAGAGCTGAGGTGGCAAAAGTACTTGCCTAGCAAGTGCAACATCCTGTGTTTGATCCCTAGTATCAGAAAAGACAAATACATTTTTTTTTTAATGGAGATGGTGCCTGCTTCCCCCCCCCCACCTTTGGCCAGTCCTGGGGTTTGAACTGTCCCTGAGCTGCTATTGCTCAATGCTGGCATTCTACCACTTGAGCCACAAGATCACTAATGTTTTTTTCTATTTATAACCCAACCTAGGGCTTCATGCATGCTAGGCAAGCACTACCACTGAGCCAACTTCCCAGCCCCCAAACCTGCTTTTATGACATTGAAAACTCAAGCTTTACATGGATTTTGGAAGGGGGCTAGAGTGTAACTCGGTGGTAGAATTTGTTTATCATGTATATAGAATCCTCAGCACCTTTTTTTCCTGTCAGTTGGGCTTGAACTCAGCCTGGGTGCTGTCCCTCAGCTCTTCAGCTCAAGGTGAATGCTCTACCACTTGAGCCCACCCCACCACTTCCAGTTTTCTGGTGTTAATTGAAGATAAGAGTCCCGCAGGGGGCTGGAAAGGTGGCTCAGTGGTAGAGCTCTTGCCCTGCATGCCTGAGGCCCTGGGTTTGATTCTTCAGCACCACATAAGCAAAAAGAAAAAAGCTGGAAGTGGTGTTGTGGCTCAAGTGGTAGAGCCCTAGCCTTGAGCTGAAGAGCTGAGGGACAGTGCCCAGGCCCAGAGTTCAGGCCCCACAACCGGACCCCCCCCCCAAAAAAAAAAAAGAGTCCCACAGATGTTCCTTCCTGGGCTGGCTTTGAACCATGATCCCAGGATATTTGTACTTGCTAGGCAAGTGCTTTGCCACTGAGCTACATTTCAGTCTCTAGGCTGAGGTTCAACAGCAGTCCTCAAATCCTGAGTAGCTAGGATTACAGGTGAGCCACTGTTGCCTGGTGACTGTTCATTCTTCAAACACCCATTTGGCAGGCTGGGAATGTGGCTTAGTGGTAGAGTGCTTGCCTACCATGCATGAAACCTTGGCTTCGATTCCTCAGTACCATGTAAACATAAAAAAGCTGAACATGGTGCTATGGCTCAAAAAATAGAGTACTGGCCTTGAGCAAAAGAAGCTCAGGGACAGTGCCCAGGCTCTGAGTGCCAGCCCCAGGACTGGCAAAAAACAAAACAAAAACAAAACACCCATTTGGCTTCACACTTAGACAATTGTTTAAGGATTCACTTGTATAGATGTGCTTGTGTGAGTGAAAATGGTTTATATAAAGGAATGGAGCCAGGCACCAGTGGCTCACACCTGTAATCCTAGCTACTCAGGAGGCTAAGATCTGAGGATCCTGGTTCAAAGCCAGTCTGGGCAGGAAAGTCTGTGAGACTCTATTCCAATAAACCACTCAGAAAGACCGACAAAAAACACAAAGGAGTAGTTTTTGTTTTTGTTTTGTGCTGGTCCTGGGGCTTGAACTCACGTCCTTGGCATTGTCCCTGAGGTTTTTTTCTCACGACTAGCACTCTACCACTTGAGTCACAGCTCCACTTCTGGCTTTTTGCTTGTGTACTTAGTTGGAGATAAGAGTCTCTGGGACTTTCCTGTCCAGGTTGGTTTCAGATCATAGCTTCCTGAGTAGCTAGGATTATAGGCATGCCAGGCAGGAGTGTTCTTTTTATGTTTCCCCTGAAAACAGTAAAATCCTCACCACATGGTGCCTTTGGCTTATATAGATTTAGAATTCAGTCGGGTAAGACAGTGTAGTGTTTATTCCTGCCAGCAGGGGGCAAACGCGGGCAGGATGGTTAGCCATGAAGAGGGTTAGCCATGAAGAGTCTGCAGTTAGTGCCCCTACACAGTTGTGGTTACCCAAGCCTTTGCTTGCTTTTGTTTTAGGACGTGGGGCTTGAACTCTGGGCCTCAGCCCTTCAGCTCAAGGCGAGCACGCTACCACTTGAACCACAGCGCCACTTCTGGTTTTTTTGAAGTTAATTGGAGATGAGAGTCTCAACGGACGTTCCTGCCCAGGCTGGAATGAGCCTCAGATCTCAGCTTCCTGAGTAGCTAGCAGGCATGAGCCACTGGCACCTGGACTCCTTTCTACTTTTGAGAGGCTTTTCTTGTCACTAAAAGGTAATTTGCTGTTTCTCAAATGCCTTTTACGTTCTTTGCCTGCCTGGAATGAGTTGCTCTTGCAGCCTTGCCATGTGTCTAGCCAGCTGCAATCACCCCTCATGCCCAGGCACTGTTTTGGAAAGACTCCATTTCCTGCTGACTTGTATCAGGTGTTATTCTGCAAAATAGCACCCTGAGCTAGTTCCAGCCATTTCCCATCCCCTCCCTTCACCCAACCTGTTCCCTCTTTCTAGAGGCTGAGCACTTTCATAGCCAGGTGCTATGAAATACATATGAAATACATACAAACAAGGTGGAAAAGGAAAGGAAAATTATTCAAGCCTATTGAAGGTTTGTAGCTCTCCCCATAGCAGACGTGTGCTGGGCCCCCTGGGCCTTCGCTTATCTGCAAGGTGAGTGGTGACATTTCATGATGGTCTCACATTAAAAATGATGCGTTCTCTGTAAGGACCTCATTAATTTTTTTTTCCAATTTGGCAAAGTCATGTTTAATGGGTAAAACAGTCTCGAAGTCCTCCCGTGGCAGTTGGGGACTTTGCCCTAGGGGAGGGAGGACGGCAACTCCTAACATTGATTGCTTCTGTGTCATTGCATTGACCAGCACTGCTAATTATTAGCAATGGTGGCTGCAGAGGGACGGGATTGATGTGGAATGCCCAAAGGCTATGCTGACGTGTAAGAGTTCCTGGCTGTCACTTAACAAGAAAATTGTGACACCTTTCACAGGTTGTGTGACTGGACAGCTAGGTCACTTACTGAACAGATAAGCTCTCCTTTTCACCTGGCCCAGGGACTGGTTTGCTTATGGACCCATAACTTCTGCAGCAGACACAGCTGTGTTGATAGCTGGACTTTGTAACGTTGATCATTCTCGTTGTCCTCACAGCCAAGGTGGGAACAAGATGTGTTAGCCACTGGTGAGTAAACAGAGTTGGTAGATGTGTTTGGTGGAGACTCACTGAGGTTTTGCTTTTGTTTATTTTGGTATTAGGGATGGAACCCAGGGCCTCCTGCTTCCTAGATAAGAGCTCCACCAGTGAGCTGTGCCCCAGCCCTCATTCAGTTTTGAAGAGGAAAGATCGTCGGACCCCTTGCTGTAATGTAGATGCCCTTGAGGACTCTGGGTGAAAAATGAGTGAGTCACAGACAAACACCCCATGATTCTGCTTCCCTGGTGGCCACAGAAAGCACAGCTCATGGGCACGGACAGCACTAAGGGCCTGGGGGTGTGCGGAAGGGGGTGCCCCAGGAAGGCAGCTCTTGCTTCGTGGCACAGAGTTTTAGTTTGG